CAGCGCCTTGGTCCCGAAGGGTGCACTTCCAGGAGGTAGCAGGTCAAGAAAACATGAGTCCAGAACGTGGGCCACTTGGGAGTGTTGGGCAATGACAAGGTTAACTTTGGCCGGGAGGTCTGTCCTTCCTTGGTTCTGAGAACCTATTTCTGCCTCATGCTGTTCCAGTGTCTTGGAAATGAGGTCAAACTTAAGTCATCTCTGAAACACATGAGTTCTGGTTTCGAAATGGAAAACTCCAGCTGCCCACCGATTTCACAGCTGCAATAGAAAGCCACCTACAAATGCCCATTAAAGAGAACGGCGATGTTAAGGTTTGGCGTGACGCTGTGGTAACCACTTTGGAGTTGCATGACTCAAAGCACAAGTACGTTGGGTGCGGGTTCTGGGTGCGCCATTGCGGTGCGCTGTGTGGTCCGAAGGAAGCAAGCCCATGTATGTCGTCCGCGAGACTCAGTTTCCTCTGCTCTAAAATGAAGGTAAAAATGCAGGGCTTGTAGGCACTATTAAGTGAGATCACAGATGCAGCGTGCCGTCCAGGACAGCTGCTGCGTGTAGCCCTGCGTGTGTGTCACGACGTGGGCGCAGGGTCTATACCTCGACACGAGCACAAATACTTGCAACGCTTAACAGATGACTTACAATACTAGCCAAGGCGTTCTCACTTAAATTTCAAAGAAAGGTTTTGGTGAGTAGGACAACAGATGTACTGGTGTGACCACACACGTGCGTGCCTATGCACTTACACACACCCTGATTGCAAGCCTGTAGCACTCCTGTTCGGTCACCAGACCCTTAGGTTGTGAGAGGCGCCTCTTTCCCCTTCTGCATGACCTCAGTGCAAATCTGTTTGAGAAACTCTATCAGAAAGATGGAGACGCAAAGATGTTGTAACAGAAGGAGACGGCGTGAGTCATGCCTGTGGGTGAGCTCAGGCATGCGGAGAAGGCGGAAAACCAACACTGCTAGGCTGTGCGAACACTTTGGGGCTGTGCTAACACCAAGTATTTGAAAAGCGGCTACTGATTACAAAACACGCGAGGATGGCCCGGGACGCGCCGTGCTGCAAAGGACCGCTCCTCCAGTAGGCGCGCGGCGTGCTGGGGTCCGAGCCCCGGACATGCAGACCCACCGCCTCCCCAGCAGGGTCCACTCTGGGGAGGTCTGCCCCTTCCCACGTAAGGAGGCCATTGTTTACCTCCCTGGAAGCCAGGTCAGCTTTCAGCCAAGCTCTGGCTGTGCGTTGGTCAGCCTTGGTATTTACGGGGAGGGAGGCTGTTAACGTCCCTGGAATGAGGAACTACAGACCAGTCAAAAGGAATGATTCTCTTGGAGGGTTTGAAACTTCATCTGTGGTATTGGATCAGGACTTCTGGAAAGGCCCACTGCGCTGTCACCTGAGAATCCTGTCAGTGTGCAGGAATGCAAAGGGACTTTTCAGCCTGAGGTCATCTGTTTTCCCTAAGCAGGTAACAAACAGCCTTTTTGTTTTAAGCTGTACTGTTTCACTAAGCCCTTGCTATGTAAAAAGCACAACACAACACAACACAAAACAAAATGACGAAAACAACCCAAAGTTATTGGCTTAAAACAACCACTGTTTTATTTTTCTCCCTAATCTGTTGCTAGAATTTGAGTCAGCTCAAGGGGAAGCCTGTCCATGCTCTGTGACATCTGACTCGGAGCTGGCTGGCATAGCCAGCCCACGTCCACAGTCTCAGGGACCGCGGTTGGCTGGCTTCCCCGGCTGCCCTCGAGTGGGCTGTCCCTGGGGCAAGCTTAGGCCTCCTCGTGGTACAGTGGTCTCGGGATAACCAAGCTTCTAGTGCAGCAGTCAGCTTTGGAGAGGGAGCGCTCGGCACACAGGCATTCCTTAGGCCTCCGCTGCTGTCCGGCACGCTGGCCTTCCACTGGTCACGCCGAGTCACTAGCCAGGCCCAGAGGAGACGGGCTGTGTAGACAGGCACGAGTCCAGCCGTGCGTATTCACTGCAGCCAGCAAGATGTAGGGCTCCCTACCCCAGAGATAATAGTCTACAGTATAACAACCATTGTTAGTTTTCTATCATCTTGTTTTGAAATCTGTATTTTTTCCCTCTCTTTAAAACAAAACAAAACAAAAAAAAGAAAATAAGCTTTTAGTATCCACTTTCTATTGTGAAAGACTAAATAGGCATTTAGTCTAATTATGGCCCGCCTTTGCTTAGCGTTGATGAAAGGCCCCCGTGCGCTTTCCATTGTGAAAGACTAAATGGTCCGTGTGCAGCCGCAGGGGAGTGTTGCTTAAGGCCCACACGTGAAACTATTGGAAACAGGCTGGGGTTTTCCCCCAAAGAAGGGGCATGGCTTATTCCTGTAGGGTACATTTTTAAATCTCTGTGCTAAAAACAGCCTGCTAACAAGATGCTGACTGTGGTACCTACCTTGGACTTAATTCATTCACAGATTTGGTGGCTTTTTAAATTCAGATTTCCGATCGTGTTAAGATACAGGACAATAGCTGGGGCGAGATGGCCCTTCTACCCCTTGAGCCTCCTCACCTCTTAAACAGAATGATTCAGCAGCGTGAACGCTGTATTTTCCTCAAATGCTACTATTCTTTGGGTTTGAAGTTGCAGGCGATTCCTTGGTTAACTACTATATTTTACTAACTATAAAATAATGCACTTGGAAAATACTATAGCAACCTGGTACTTCTGTAAGGAAAAAACGGCTTAAGTGTTCCTTAAATTCAATTTTTTAAGGGCCAGCAAGATAGCTCCGTGAACTAAGCTCCTGCTTTGGCAAGCAGAAGGACCAGGGTTTGATCCCCAGTCCTGTAGGCCACATGGGCCCTGCCCCTGGGGCGCGCTGAGCCAGTGAATGAGTCTGGATGTGGCATTCGCCTGTAATCCCAGAGCTGGGGAGGCTGAAAAATGGGAGGCTCGCTATGAGTCCGAGCTGCATAGTGAGACGCCATACCAAATACATACTTGAAAAAAAAAAAAACAAACAACAAAAACAATCAATAGTTTAGCCATTGGTGTTAGGGAAAGGATTAAAAGTGATGACAGTTGGGGAAAGGCAGCTGCCCGCTGCGACCCTGGCTGCTGCCCCTCTGCAGAGACACGGGCTATTTCCCCTGGAAAAGAAACACTATGTATGGATGACCTCAAGTGTGCTGTAAGAGTACATTTGGTTTTACCCAAGATTCTCTGCTCTGAGACATGCAGGCCTCTTGGCAATGAGCCACCTTTTTTTTTTTTTTTTTTTTTTTTTTTTTTCCCAAGAAGGGCGTTGCTCCATAGTCGGGGCTGCCCTTGAACTTATTATGTAGCCCAGACTGGCCTCAAACTCACGGTGATCTTCCTGCTGGGATATTTGCCATATATTTTGATCTCTTGCATTTGATAGGATGAAACGATATCAGGCAGAGCTATACACCCAAACCATCTTATAATACTGTAAGTAAACATATTGATGTAAATATTAAGTTCCATTGTAACATGTTATACTTCTTTGGATTAGCCAGATACCTGCTTAATTGACTTTTGGGTAATAGAAGGATAATTGCTATTTATTCAAAATATGCCTCGGGTGAAAACGATAGAACTTCTTACCACTTCCTTCATGTGGGTTGGGTAGGTGTTTGTCAAAGCCAGATTGAAACAGAAACTTCGTTGGTTGATCCCTTACCTCAACGTGTGACAATAATTGGTTCACAATGGCTGTTTTGGAAGATTTGGGGGCTAATTTGAGTGTGGGAGAAAGCCTACTCTATGTCACTAAAGTCAAAATTTATACAGGTTTTTTTTTTTTTTTTTTTTTAAATTCAGATGGGTTCATTTTTCTCTAGCAAAGTAGAAACAATTCTTTTTTGGCATGGTGGCCAGCTAACCCAGTTTGTGTGGCCCCCCAGGTCTTTCTTGGGGAATGAGCACCAGGTAGTTGCCTGGGCTGAGGAGGCTAAAATGGATAAGCCCTAACAGAGATTTTAGGTGCTCGAGTGAAACACTATTCAAACACATGGCTCTTGCCAGACCACACATAAACTATGACAATCACCAGAAGGTTAGTGATTATTTTCTGGTTCTGGAATTATAATCTTTTTCTTCAGCTTTTCATGTTCCCATTTTTTAAAAAATGTATTTGGTTCATACACGGCCTCACTATGGAGCTCAGACTGGTGTGATCCTTCTGTTTGAGCCTCCCCAGCGCTGGGATTACGCCTAGATTCGGTGGCTGGCTCAGTGCACCCAGGGGTGAGGCTGGCATGGCATGTGGTGTTGGGGATCGAACTCTGGACCCCTGCACTTGCCTAAGCAGGCCCTTTAGACCACTGAGCTATCTCGCCAGCCCCCTGCTTTTCTAGCCTATAAATGTGAGAAACATCAATTGTTGCCTTCAAAGGAAGATGAACCCAGGCTTAAGAGATGCCCAGTTCAGAAAACATGAAAAGTAACACCTTCCAAGAGAGTGCTTGGCACATATTTTAAGATATTAGATGGCAACGGACCTCACCAACACCCACTTTTAGTTTAGCAACTATTGCAAGAGCCCCGGGACCCAGATCTAGACCCAGTGGCGCCAACTCGGTGAGTGCTGAGAAACCTGTTTACTGCCTGAGGCTTCAGTTTATTCATCTGCCAAGCAGGAGATTTGGACCATCCTGCGCCTGAGGTCTGTTCACTTGCTAATATCCTGCACTCCCACGTACGATCTTCTGGTGAGGCCCGCTGGACGCGTGGATTTCTATCAGTCAAGTCTCCCGGGCCGTTTCTTACTCATCCTTCACTGCTTCAGCTAGCAGGAGCCGGAGAGCCTGGTGAGCCCTGTTCAACTCTTGGTTACAGAGCTTGAAGGAGCAATTTGTGCAGCGTGTGGGAGCCGTGGGCACATGTAACACCTTCCAATCCCTCTGGTTCTTTCATGAACAAGATTCTGAGGACCTCTGGGGGGAATGAGTCCTGAGGCCTTGTCGTGCTTCGCAACACAAGAAAAGACAGTGGGTAGTGTGTACAATTTTATTGGCTACAAACCAGAGGCGCGCTGATGGGAATCTGAAGACTACAGTAGGGAAGCCGAGCTTTAAACTCACACATTGACACCTTGACTTGGAAATTTCAAAAGTGTATCATGTATCAAAAGTGTTAGGGTGAGTCTGATGAGATTGTAATAGAAAAAGTACTAGAAATTTCAGAGTTGATAACTCCAAGGGTAACTTTTAGCACTCACCCATCAGCCTCTAGGCAAGGACTTTCCATTGGAAAAGAATAGTTTTTACAACGGGCAGAAACTTTTATTGGCCTCACGCGTGCTTTTGGATCTCATTCACTTGAGAAAGAACTACTCTTCCATTGACACTCTCCTGCATGATGGCCTTGATCTTCGGAGCTGCAGGTACTGTGGAAAGAGCACCAGAGAGGTCACTGCCATGCTTTCTCCACCATCTGCACTAAATTCCTGTTTGGCTCCCTGGTCTCTGCCCCTGAAGCTTCACTGTACCTCCAAAATGATCACTAAGCAATATGGCGGACCCTGCACACTAAGCAATATGGCGGACCCTG